CCCAACTGCATTCAGATGTTTGGTCTGTTGGTGGACAATTAGATTAGGAAGTGGGCTCAAATGGGAGGGTCCCACTGCAGCTCACTTGACCACAAAGACAAGCCCACCCTCTTCTGAGTCTGGTTCTCCCCTGGGTCTTAATAGAGATGGTGTCTCTTCTGGGAAGACCCTGTTACCCCTTCAGCTTGTACTAATAGGATCTGGGTTCTGAGCTCCGTGGGCAGTGGGTCATGAGGCTTCCCAGTGTTAGAGTGGCAAAGCCAGGAACAGGCGCTGGTGTGGTCAGGGTGTCTCACCTCAGCAGGAGAGAACTTGTCTGCCTGGGTTAGGAGAAGCTGCTTGAACCTGAGGAAGGAGAAGGTTTGAGCCGGGAGGGAGAGGGGCAAGGGCCCAGGGAAGGACTGGTCACCTGCCAGAGTATGGTGACGACCTGAGACACACAGAGGACCTTACCACCACCCTCTAGTTTCCCTGTGGTGCCCACTCTGGGCGATGGAAGACCTTACTTACTCATCCTTGTTCACTACCCCCTGGCCACTGGGGTCAAACATTCGGAAAGCACTCAGGATGGCTTCCTCGGGGTCCGTTCCTGGGGGTGGAGGCAGCCAGGTGAGCTGTCACATCCCCAGCCTCTGGGCCCCACCCAGGGAGCTAGGATCTTTCCTGGAGGTCATTGACAGAGGGGAGAGTGAAGGGGTGGGGCCTGGAGGGCTAAGGGGGGGAGGGGAGTTACCCCACAGACTGTTTCTTGAGCAGGCCTGGCTGGGAAATCAGAATTGGGATTTGGAAGAGGAGATTTTCTGAGTCCAAGTCAGCCCGGATGCTCCCCATCTGCTGGGTTGACCATGGCCAGGCAGGACCATGAGTTTCAGATGAGCCTCACATGGGGCTCAGGGGCAGATGAGGTCAGGTCTGCTTATGACTAAGGAGACTGACATGATGCAGACTCACCATTGAGTTTCTCCCCGAAGAGTGTGAGGAAGACAGTGAAGTTGATGGGGCCCTTCCCTTCCTGCAGCATGGCATCCAGCTCCTCCTCTGGGACACTTACCCTCCCTATGAGGGTAGGACATGAGGTGACTCAGGCTGCCCTCTTAGGCTTCCCAGGCAGTGAGAGGAGAGACAGGGGGCATCTCCAGCTGTGGGGCTGGCGGGGGATGGGGCATGTGTGACTTGACTGAGGGACATGTAAGGGGTAAAGGGCAGGGCACGGTCCTCTCTCTGAAAAGGCCCCTGAGGAGATTGGGATGGGTCACTGGGAGGTGCGCCCGTCGGTTCACTCACCGAGCTGGGAATAGGTCTCCTTCAGGTCTGACTTGCAGATGATACCATCTCGATTCTGGTCAATGCAGCTGAAGGCCTGTGAGGAGGGCCTTCAGGTGGGAACTACCCTCACTCTCCCAGGGAGGGAGGAGGTAAGGGAGAGTCTTGGGTGGTGTGAGGGGCAAGGTTGGAGGGAGGGCCCCTGATGCTCAGAGAAGAGGAGCGGAAGGTGTGTGGAGTGGCCTCCCCTGAATGACAGGCTATGGAAGAGGTGGTACTCACTTCCTTGAATTCCTGGATTTGGGCTTGTTCGAACATTGAGAAGACATTGGAAGAGCCACGTTGGGCCTGCTTGGTGGCTGCAGCCTTGCCTCGGGTCCCAGCCTTCCTGCTGGCCTGTAATTCTGATGGTGAGAGGGGTTCCCTCTCCAGTTCTCCAAAGCCCCACCACCACCACGAGTAACCTCAGTGCACAACCAGGAGTGCCAGGAGCCGAGGGACCTTTCTCTACCCGTAAAGATCAATTCCCTGGGCCTGCCCTTTTGCAGAGCAGAGCCTGGCATCTGGAGTGACTAGGTTCCTGTGCCCCGCCCAGCACTCACCATGGTCTGCAGTGGTCTGGCTGTGTGATCTTGTCACCAGGCTCTTTATGTCTCAGCCTTATCACCCAGAGGCCCAAATAAGGAGAGGAATGGATGACGGGGCTAAACTTGGAAGCCCCCACTGGTAGAGGAAGACAAGGGCCCCAAGCAGGTCCCATCCACATTCCTGGTGACCTTCAAGCTCCCAAGTGTGACATCCTAGGATCCATCGGCTCTTGTGACCAGGCTCCGTGTCTTCCCTGGGCAGAGATGGCCCAAGTTTTTAGCATCTCTGGTTGTGTTGAAGGTTCCCTGTGAATCCCCCCACCCCCCATCTACCACGGCTCCTGCAACTCCAGGCTGGACTTTGGCTATGCCATCCTTACTCTAGGAATCAGTGCATGTTTCCAAGGATGGTCTATGGCCTAAATCCTCTGCGTTGGGTAAAACCCTGAGCTCTGGCCTGCTGCAGGCTGACAAAAGACAGACAGAGATTTTGAGCAGGCTGTGAGCTGTGAGGTGACAGACCCTTACATTCATACCTGTGCTGTAGTTTGTGCCTGCCCTGCTGACACTCAACTGATTCTTTCTGTTTGTTAAGCTACATCTCAATTCTATCCTCTCCCCACCTCAGAAGATTCTCTCTGACATTCCCAACTGAGAGCTGGAGCCTACTCCTGAACACAGCCTGGTCAGCATCTGGGATCCAGGGGACCTGGCACAGGGCAGGCCTGCCTGTGTGAGGCTGTTTTTTGGGGAAAGTTTTGGAGCATAGTGCCTCCCCAGGGTTCCCGTGAAAGTGACTCACAGAGCCATCTAGCGGTTCTGAATTTTGGATCAAGGGGCTCCTGTTCCAAGCAGTAACACTCTGCCAACATCTTGAGGACCCTAGTGTGGCAGAGGAGTCAGGAAGCTGAACAAGCCTGGGGATGGTACAAATAGCCCTCTGCCTGGGGTCAGGGTTCATTCTCACCCCAACTTAGATGGGCTGGGAGAATTTGGATACTACTCCCTGTTAGGCTCCCAGTCCCACCCACCTTCCTTCAGTTTGCTGATAGAATTAGCCATGTGACCAGGCAGAGCCTGGATTCCAAGGCTGAACCAGCACATGTGCCTCCAAGGCCTCCCTCTGTGTATTTTATGGTACACCTACCTTACTATCTGAAAATGAAATTCATTCATTCAAATTAGACGTGTAAAGAGAGACTAAAAAAATCAGTACTGTTGTAATTTAAGAAAATCAGCACTCAAGAGGAAGATGCCATGAGACAGGGTTCAAGCAGAGGGGTTTCTTATTAGGGAAAGGGATCATAAAAAGGGGGAAAGGGAGGAGGGAGATCATCCTCAGGGGGACAGGAGCAGCAGGAGAGAGAGAGGGAGGGAGGGAGAGGAGGTGGGCAGGGCCCTTTTAAAAGGGAACACGGTGAATGTGCACAGGTGGTGCTCTTAGTGGCTGCGGCTGAGGGCGTACCCTGTCAGAACCCCAAGGACAGGCCAGTTCAGATGCCTGAATACTAACAGGTACAATGCCTCAGATTCCAGATGTTTCCAGAGAAATGAAAGAAGATGAAAAAAGAAGATAAAGATCTATATTAAAAGTCTGTTCAAATATGGACACCTTGTTCTGATGACATAAACAAACACTGGTGTCAGTTCAAGGCAGTGAAGATGATCCGAAGCAATTCTATATGAAAATTACCAGAAAATGATAAGATTTCAAGGAAGATGTGACTTTCCCCAAAATCACCATTTTGATTTGTTTTCTGAATGAAACAGAACAGTTGCCTTTGGCCTACTGGGTAGTTCCATTAAGAAATAAATGTGCATTAAAATCATACAAGCCTGTGTTTACCTGCAGATATGTTTATGCTGCATAGAAAAGGCATTAGGCCCTTTGTGATTTCACCTACCAGGATTTTCCTCTGGGGGGGGGGGAGCCTTAGAAACTGTGTAACATCACATAACCCTGGCCCTAACTCCCTGTTGCTTCCTCCGTGGTTCTGAGGAGACAGGGCTGCTGAGGCCAACCTACAGATGAGCCAGAGCAGTCGGGCCTGGCATCTCTGCCCTCTCTCTCTCACGTGTTACAGGGGAGGGCCCAGCAGAGGGCTACTTAGTGCCCGAAGTGTCCCCATGTCACCCCATTCCCTCAGCTCATCTCTCACACTCCCCTGGGCATAGAGTCTGCAGCACACAGCAAATTCTGAGACACAACCAAGCTGAGGGAGTTACCTATGCACACCAGTGATGTTTCTCTGTGTGTGCACACCAATCCTTACGCATAACGTCAAAGAACAACGGACAGGCCATGTTCAAGTATTTTTAAATGTTTAATTAAAAACTCCCCCAGTCCCAGGTTGGTATAGAGGGGGCGGCATGGTTTTGGGAGGATGAGGGAGAGAGGACTCTGGGTGGTCTCTTGGAGGGGTACTGGGGGTGGCTTGCGTTTTCCTCCTGGTGCAGGGATATGAGAGTTGAAGATGCCATCCTGCTTGAAGGAGGGGGGTCCCTGATAGTGCAAGTGAGGCCTCCCCTTTCTGGTTCCTTCAGGACAGGAACTCCGGGGCGCTCTTCTGTGGTATCTCCTGGTAGGGTTCATCCCAGAACCATAAGTCACTCAGGGGTAGAGGTATATGAAGTCTCTTTGGGGTGTCTGTGGCCTGGGAAGTTCCCTCTATGCAGCTGGACAGTCAGTCTCCCGTAGTTCCCAGCCTCTTCTGTCACAGGCAAGACAACAGCAAGGCTTGGGTGACCAGCAGCTCTTGCTGTCCTGGGAGCCCAGGTCTGGTCTGGCCAAGCGGCTGGAGCTACCTCCCCACACAGGGTGTGCTTCCAGGGAAGCCAGACCATTTTATGGTCCAGGAGGCACTCCCTTGGGAGGCCAGGCCCACAGCTGTGAGAGGCAAGAAGTGAGAAAATTCAAGTCCTGAGTTGTGCAACGCCTTTCTTTGTAGTTGACTCAGACAGGAAAGGCTTTGGTGCCTCTGATCCTCTTCCTCCTCCCAGCCCCCTGCCCCAGGCTGAGAGCCCTGGGTCTGTCCCGCTGACTGACACTGTAGAAAGGCCTGCTCGGCTTGCAGGGGCCTCTCCCCATTTTCCTGGTAGGCTGGGAGCACCTGTGGGGTGTGGAGTCCCCTGGGAGCCCAGGTCCCTGCCCCTGTGGCCTAGCTTTCACTGGCCCAGCATACAGGCCTTCTTGCAGGCCACTGCAGAGACCAGCGCCGCTCCCCTGCCGCTGCCCTCCTCAGATTCGATGAAGGTGATTTCGCAGTTGGGTGTCAGCCTGCGCACACTGGTGTGGAACCGCTCCTTGAAGCTGAACAGGAGGAAAACAGGGCTGCCGTTTCTCCTCCCTCTCTCTAGACCTCACCCTTGTCGCCCACCCATTTACCGTAGGCTCCCTGGCTGCAGCACCCTCACTATCCAGGCCTAAGGGGAGCCTGGCAGGAGGGCTCCCAAATGCTGAGAGCCACGCCCTTTGGGCCTCCCTTTAGGAGGGAGAGGTTGGACCCGGGAGCTTAGGTAGAAGCTGACCTAGGGTGCAACTTGTACACGGAGCCATCCACGCCCACGGTGATGCGCATCACGTCCTCACTGCGGCTTTCGCGCATGCGATTTATGACCCCCGCTAGTCCCGCTGAGCACATGTGGGCGGCGCGCGTGGACACGCTCTCACAGGCTCGGCGCACAATGTCGCAGTCGGTGACCGAGGGCCGAAGCCCCAGAGTGCTGAGGATGTTGTGGATCTGCTTGCGGTCGCCCGAGTCGCTGCGGCAGAATGGGGGAGGGAAGTCACTGAGGGTCCTGGAGCAATGATGTCCTGCCCAGCACTGGATTCTTTATGGCTCCATGTCTCCCGGTGCCAATACTCTGCTCCTCCTAGAACCCTGGTCCATTCCTCTGTGTCCCTGAGGTCACCTCTATTCCTCCTCCTCCAGGACCCCCGCCCCTGGCCCTGCCCCCTCCAGGCACCTCTCCACCTGCGACACAAAACGGGTCTCGAAGGCACCACGTGTGCGCAGCTGCTCCGAGGCTTCTCCGTGGAACAGAAGATTCTCATCCACCAGCTTGAGCAGCACAAGTCGTACCAGCTCACCCATGTACTTTCCACCAATGAGCTTTTCGTACCTGGATACAGAACTGTCGATTATGCCAGCTGGCCCTCGGGAAATCCCCACAGGTTCCATTCCAGTTAGGAGGTGACCACATGGGGCACTGATTCCTTTCTCATTCCCATCCCCAAAGTCATGCCCGCCCCCACGTTTGTAAACAGTGGCTTCAGAAACCTCAGGTCTTAGGAACAGGCACATTTTTAACCCAGCTGAGGGAGCACATCTGGCCCTGCTACTGGCCTGGGATAGGAAAGGGACACACACAACCTCCGATGTTAGTCATTCCACAACCATGGGAAGGGTTGCTATTCTCATTGGCTCACAGGGTTAGTGCCCAGAAGAGCACATGGTAGCCTGGTATATTTTTGCCTGATCAGTGAGCTTCCATATTGTCATCTTGAAATCCAGCAGATATTAATGACTTGACAGAGGCCTGTGAGGGTCTGAGATGAAACTCATTAACTAGTTAACATGAGAATGGTACCATGTAGGTGGCTAGCCTGTGATAGGCACAATTCATTTTATTTATTTATTTACTTTCATTTGAGACAGGGCCTTACTATGTAGCCATGGCTATCCTGGAACACAAAGAGATCTGTCTGTCTCTGCCTCCCAAGTGCTGAGATTAAAGGAGTACACTACAGCACGTGGCACTAGCCTTGATTCAAGACGAGCTCTGTACAGCTGGTTCCCAAGATATGTTCTGCCAGAATACAGCCCCCACCCCCACACACATGCTAAAGTTCATTTTGTGGGACTGGCATACATATACACTTTGGGGATTCAGGCTTAAGCCACATAAACCTTGCAGGTCTTTCAGAGCTGTCTCTGGTGGTATAAGAGTAGAAAGGTGGTAGGCTTTATACTAATCACCGTGACACCTCCACACCTCAAAGGTGCAGACCGTAACTGAGCTGAAGAAAAGAGCCAGCTCATAGAGGGATCACCAGTTTCTTCTCCCCAGAGTTGTCTCTCCAGCTTTTTGAGACAGGGTTTCTCTGTAGCTTTGGAGCCTGTCCTGGAACTCACTTTGTAGACCAGGATGGCCTCGAACTCACAGAGATCTGCCTGCCTCTGCCTCCCGAGTGCTGGGATTAAAGGTGTCTATGGACACCACCACCAGGCCTCGACAGAGCTCATTATAAACAAGCTATTATGTGCTCCGACCCAGCTGCGTTGTGCCAGACAAGAGCAGCCCCAGGGTGGGCTAGGAGGGCAGGGCATCCTTACAGTTGCTGACCGGGGTTCACTGAGCTTTCATCCACCATTCGGTCGTACTCCAGCAGGAACTCATCCAGCTCGCCTGAGTCCCCGAAGGCGCCCCACTCAGTGTTCACGCACATGCGTCCCTCATCCCCTTCTACCAGCTCCACATTCTGCATCTCCTCCATGTAGCAGGCATTGCAGCCAGTACCTACAGGGATGGAACACATTAGGTTATAAGGACCAGGAATGGGAGCTGGAGGGCTGAGCAGCTGTCTGATGCAGAAGACCTGGGTCAGTCTGAGGACTGTCCTCTAACAAGGGTGGGTCCCTACTCTTTACCTGGGGAGTCAGGGAAATGGAGGAAAACAAAGTGTGCCATTGTGGCTTGACAGCTGGAAAAGGATGTGAGGTGCCGTTTTATTATTTTAATTTAAAAGTTTTTATGCACACGATTTTGTCTGCATGCATGTTTGAGCACCACAGATGTGCCTTCCAGGTGCCCACAGAAGCTAGAGGAGGGTATAGGTCCCCTGGGATTAGAGTTACAGACAGTTGTGAGCCATCATGTGGGTACTGGGAATCAAACCCAGGTCCTCTGCAGGAGACACTCTTAACTGCTCAGCCATCTTTCCAGACCCTTGTTGTCTAGCACTTTATACGCACATCTTTAAGTCTCTCTCCTGAGCCCTTTTAGTAAGGCACCATGTAGGCCCCTTGGAGCAGTCCCGAGGCTACTGCAGGTCAGACCTCCTGCAGTTTGTCATGTGCTGAGTGAAACTGTGGAGTTCCTGCACAGCAAGATCGCATGGACTGTTCGCCTCTCAAGCTGGCAAGGACAGCAAAGCCATGCAGTTTTCTATAGGAGTCTGGGGCCATAGTGTTGTGTGTGAAAAACAGAAATCCAGATTTTGATGTGAATTCTCACAATTGCTTCAATCTTGGCAATTATCATAAATTGGTTTTGAAAACTGTTTGTGGGCAGATGTGAGTGGTGGGCCACCAAAAGGTACCCATCTTTTGGATCACACCACAGGAGGTGGCGCTACTGGACAGAGCTGCTGCCGCTTGGCCTGGGTTAAGTGAGTTGACTCAGGAGCCACAGGAGGGATTATGGAGGACACAGCGGGGGAATTCAGAGAGAGGCACAGCCAGAGGCATCTAGAGAGAGAAGTTTTCACTGAAAAGGCAAGATAGAAAATAAAAATAGTAAACAGAAGGGAGGTGCAGACTAGAGCAGGGGATCTCAACCTGTGAGTCACGACAGGGGTCGCCTAAGACCATCAGAAATATCAGATATTTATATTATGATTCACAACAATAGCAAAACTACAGTTATAAAGTAGCAACGAGAATAACATTATGGTTGGGGGGATCATGACAACGGGGACTACATTAAATAGTCACAGCATTGGGAAGGTTGAGAACCATTGGGCTAGAGTGTAAAAATATATACACAGAGCTGGATGTGGTGGCACACACCTTTAGTCCCAGCACTCAGGAGGCAGAGGCAGGAGGATCTCTGTGAGTTCAAGACCTGGTCTACATAGTGAGTTCTAGGATAGTCGAAGCTGCACAGTGAGACCCTGTCTCAAAACAACAAAAAAATTTAAAAATGTGTGTGTGTACACCTATGATGTTTTTAGATATGCATGTATATAAAATGAATATATTATTTAGCATGTATTATTTAGGGGACAGTATAAGTACAGGTGAGAACCTATGAATACAAACACATGGCATTGGAGATCTGTCTGAAGGGCCTAGGACACAGGGTTTTATGGGTAATCGGGGGCCAGAGAGTTCAAACAAACATCCCTCCACCTTTGTGCATAGCAGATAACAGATTTGATTGAAACACTCACCACTCCGGAAGATCACAGGGACTTCTGAGACAGTGCGTGTGTGTGGGGGGGGGGGTTGGTGTCCAGCTCCCACCCCTGGTTAGGAGGGGAGAGCTACTGCTTCTTTTTCTGGAATCTCTTTTCCTCCAGAGTGGGTTTAGGGCCTGGCAGTTCAGAGAGTCAGTGCTGGGTCCCCTGTCAGGCGGGGCTGGGATGGGGTGGGGCCGAGTAACAGAATGATGACGCCACCACATCCGCTGATTCTTTTCCACTTGAACAATTTTGTCCAGTGTGGTCAATTTACTAGATAAAGTGGTTCAATTACATGCAGATAGGGCAGGGCAGGTGTGCAGCTGTCAGGACACCTGACGACCTGATGCTGCAAACATTGAAATACTTCCCATCAGCATACAGTTCCCGAACCACCTCATCCCCCTGACTGTCACTAATGGCTAGTGCTCTGGCATAGACTGCTAAGTCCCTGTGGGGAAACACTGTAGGCGAACAAAGCCCTTACCCACAATCATGCCGACCTCGCACTGGCGGTCTTCATAGTAGCAGGAGATCATCGTGGCTACTGTGTCGTTCACCATTGCTACCACGTCCATCTCAAAGTCCTGCCAAGAAGTACAGAGACTATGGAAACGGAGCTGAGGAGAAGGCCCTGCGGCGAAGGGGTAGGGGCCCAGTCAGCTCCGCAGGGCAGGCAAAAGTGCCCTCACCCCTCTCCTCTTGATGGCATCCCGGAGAAGTCCCACAATGTTGTTCCCTTCTGCTCCGGACGCCTTGAAGCCCTTGGTCCAGTTGAGGAGGATGCCCTGTAGGAGTAAGAAGACATTATGGTTGCTGCTGTGGCCTTAAACCAATCAGGCCACAGGTCCAGGCAACCCCCCACAGCCCCCAGTTTCACATTTCATGAAGTAGACTCACAGCTTTGAATGGTATTGGGAACACCATTTTCTACACACACACACACACAGAGAGAGAGAGAGAGAGAGAGAGAGAGAGAGAGAGAGAGAGACAGAGACAGAGAAACCCAGGACCTTGAGAATTTGGGGTAAATGCTCTATTGCTAAGCATACGAATGTTGAGCAGCAAAGCTCAGGGATATGGTTCTAGAGTAGGGACAGGAAGGTCCCCGGGAGAACAATACTGAGTAACACTGGGGTTTCTCTCTTTAGTGAATCCTGCTGCACATGAAGATATCACATATAGCTTTCTCTGTGCAGCTTGGGGCTTAGAAAACTACTGGAGGTGTGGGTTTGGCTGTTGCCTTTGCCCCTGACTTAGAGGTTGTAGTGATTTGAGGCTCAGTAGGGGATTGTTTAGATTAAGTTTGCCTATGGACAATTATCTTGATTATATTAATTGAGGCAGGAAGATTTGCTCCTAGTGGGGGGCACCATTCCCTAGGTTGAGGCATGGAAAAAAGCAAGCTGAGCACAGTAAGAATGAATTCTTTGCTTTGTGTTTCTGTCTCTGTGTGACTCCCTTGCTGTGATATACTCTAACCTTAAGCCCTTTCTTCTCCCCTAAGTTGCTTTTGTCAGAGTACTCAATCACAGCAACTATAAAGGAAACTAAAGCAGAGAGAGAGAGAGAGAGAGAGAGAGAGAGAGAGAGAGAGAGAGAGAGAGAGAGATGTAACTTATGGACTTGCCAGTGGGGTGGCTTCTCAGGCCCTTCCCGCTTCTGACTCAGCCAGAAGAGGTGAGGTGCCTTTGTGTTATGTGGTGGGCTGGGGCTCCAGTCTTAGGGCCAGTTGCCACCTCCCCTTTGAGCAACTTGCTTAACCTGTTACTTTATCCGTAGCCGGGTGACCATAGCATGTCTCCCGAGAGGCTTTGCCACATAGTAAGAATCAGCTGCTGTTATGTCTGTTTGCCAAAGCTTTGCACATAGGAAGGGACAGGGGGCACAATTGAAACATGGGCTCACTTCCAGCCTTGGCTGGGGAGCTGCAACTGAAGGCAGTCTGAGCAGAATTCTCCCAGGGGGTGTTTCCATCCACTCATCCCCCCTCCTCCCCTGCCTGGCTCACCTTGTCTATGTCTTCATGTCTTACAGGGAAGGAGAAAGTGAAGCCCAGGGGTAGTTTCTTGTGCTTCATCTGATGCTTATCCAGAAAGTCAGAGATGCACTCAGAGATGTAGTCAAAGAGCTAGGAGTCGCACCAGAGGGGCATTGGGTCAGGGCTGGGACGTAGCAGCTCTCCCCAGGTACTGTGCCAAAGTGTACCTTGGAGGTGTTAAGACATTTGACCCCAGAGGCTGCAACTGTATGCTGGACCTGTTTGCAGTTGGCGTCTTATCAGGACTCAAGCCCTGCGACCCCTCAGATGGAGAGTCTGAAGACTGCAGTCCCCAGAGCAAGGTGACACAACACAGGCTGACCCCAGTTTAGCTGCACCCCTGAGCCCCAGTCCTCACTTGTCCAGTGAGGACTGGCTGGCATCAGGCCGGGATGGCTGTCCCATGAGGCTCTGAGTGGAAGCACATTCTTGGCCATGACTATGATTTCCATCCTTTTGCTGTTTCCTACGTATCCTGGCCACCTGACCCCTGCTGAAGGCTACCTCAATCCCTTCCAAGGGAATGGTTCCTGTGGTTAGGTACCTCTGAGTACTTCTCAGATGGATGAGGGAGCTGCCTCATAACATGCCCAGCTCCAGTCTGAGGTGTGCTGAAGGAAGGCTGAGTGGCTATGGGCAACCTCTCGCCGGGCTGCCCCTCTGGTAATGGATTTTCCCCTGTCCCTGAGTGTTCTGGCTTAGTCTGTGGCTCCTTCTGCTTCTAGGTCCCCTGTCTGTGTCTTCCTCATGCTTAGGGATCCTTGCTGCTTGGAAAGACAGTGTGGCTCTTGCCACACCACTCGGCATACACCTGTTGACAGGTTAGTGGTGGCCTGTGAGGAAGGCTAGGCGAGCATGGCTCCTGGCTACTCAGTGATAACCTTTGGTTTTCCTCTAGGAAATTGGACAGAAGCTGGGTTTTCTCCTGCTGCTGACCTCTCTTCGGTCTCCTCTTGTTCTGAGCTGACTGGAAATTGGGACTGGGGACACTTTAAGACTCTGAGCCACCTTCTTGGGTCTCCGTCTGAAGCTGTTCTTGGAACCCTCCCATCAGGACCAATTCTCCCGAGATCCTGGGTGACCTTGACCTCTAGCCGTCCTTTTCCAGCCCCTCAAGCTGCTCACCATCTCTGCGGTGCCCGTCATGGCGTCCTCGGGGATGGAGTACATCTGGTGTTTGGTCTTCACACTCCACTGCCCTGCGTCCCCCTCGCCCACCTTCACCAGCATCACCCTGAAGTTGGTTCCTCCCAGGTCTAAGGAGAGAAAGTCTCCAACTTCTGCAGGCAAAAGGAGATATGTTCAGCCTCATTGCCTACCTGATAGGCGGAAAAGTATGGGGAGCCCAGACATTGTGGATGAGGAGAAGCAGGCTGGGGAAAAGTCAAAGGTGAACTAGGGAATATCTGTGGGAAACCCCTGCCTTAGGAAGAGACAGCCAGAACCCAGATAGCTACACAGAGACCTAGAGTAACAAACTCTGGATAAGGAGGAGGTTCCCCAAGGGACCTTACACACACACACACACACACACACACACACACACACACACACACACACACACAAGAAGCCAGTTCTCCTGAGGATTGGTAGCTCCAGGCTGGGCCCCAGCACCCCAGGGCTTTAGGCAACTGGACAAAGAGCTATCCAGTGACTTGGGGATGCCATCATCTACCTAGGGAGTCCTGTCTAGGGACAGATGATCCCTGTGGTACCTGAGCCTTCTGGGGTGGAACGCACGTAGGTGGGCAACATCTTTACACTGGCCTCCTCGTGGGTCTCCAGCCTCAGGCCACGGTCCATCTCCTTCTGCATCCGCCTCATCACCTTCTTCAGGTCTTCCTCCCGCAGCTGGAACTCTGCCAGGATCTGCTCTACCTATACAGGGAGGGGATGGGAGCAGCGGTGGCTGTCACCAGAAGCCTCCACACACCAAGAGTCCCTTTTTTGTCTTCTGACTCCAGGATGCAGGCTGGTCCACATGTCAGAATATTTACCATAGTTTATTTAAAGTATTCAAGGGCTAGCCTGGGTACTCTGGAGGCGTGAACACGGGGAGCTGGGGAGTCTTTGCTCTTCGCAGGATTTTGCAGCACAATGCCTTGAAGTGTCTCCTCTCCCATTGCCCCTAAGATTTTTGGATGAGGGGAGGATTGTTGTAAATGGAACTTTGGTGAGGTGGGACTAGAGCTGGCATTACTGTGCAAAGACTTCACAAGTAAGGTCTTACTGTAGGACTCAATAGAATGAATGGGCCAGTATGCACAGGGTAGCCAAGACTAGGGTAGTTGGAGTGACCCCTAGTACCAAGCAGGGGTTTGGCTGGCAAAGCATAACCATCCACAGTGTGCAAGACTTTAAACCCAGAGGGAGGACACTCTCAGTATGGATTCGGGAGACCTGTGCATGAGAAGCTCAGAACCACACTGCAAATTCCTGCATGTAGCTGGTCAAGGTGTGGGATTTACCCTCCATATGATGGACCCTGCAGGTAGGCAGAGTGTGGCTGTTCATGCCTAAGCTAAAACCCTGGGCAGTGAGGAGTCAGTGCAAAGATACTTGAACGTTGAACCAAAAAGAAAAATTAAAGGTTCAGATCCATTGTGTGTGTGTGTGTGTGTGTGTGTGTGTGTGTGTGACTCTGCACTCTGTGCCTTGCCCATAAACTCATCCTGTTGGAGGAATTTGGACTGTATGTAGCAGGGGCATCTTTTTCTTCAGTTACCCAGATTTTGCTCAGGAGGACTAGGTAGAACAGTGAAGCCTGATAGACTAAGCTGACCACCGCAATTCTATCTCCTTTGCTTGGAGCTTGGGCAATGACTCAATTCATCAACTTCAGGTGAAGGGAAGCCTGATTTTAGCTGGAGAGGGGTGTGGCCACTAATACAAATACACTAGTCTTGCCAGTGTATTTGTGTTAGTGGCCACACCCCTTTGGGCTTGGCTTCAGGTGCAGATAGAACCTGAAAGAGGGCAGTGTGAGGTGGGCTCTCTCTTGCATTCATCCCCCTTCTCTCTCTCTCTCTCTCTCTCTCTCTCTCTCTCTCTCTCTCTCTCTCTGTCTCTCTCAGATCATGGATCAGATTGAAAGAGCAGAGAAAGGCTGTGGCAGTTTTTTACTATTATCTGTGTAAGTTGTTCCCCAATAAAACACCCATTTACCATTTATCTTGGGCCTAGTGAACTCATTATCACCTGCCTTCAATTCAGTGCCTCTTAGTTTGTGAACACAGCTGTGTAAGGATGTGATGGTTGGCATTACAGCAGCCACCTTGAAGCCATGCTGAGAGAAGGCTGGAAGGAAGAGACTGTTAGCCTATTGCACACGGCAGAGAAGACAGATTGATGCTAGACTCAGCCAACTCTACATGCAGGATCTGAAGCAGTTTCCTTCAATCAAAAGCATTCCTAAGCCAGGCGTTGGTGGTGCACGCCTTTAATCCCAGCACTCGGGAGGCAGAGACAGGTGGATCTCTGTGAGTTCGAGTCCAGCCTGGTCTACAGAGCGAGTTCCAGCACAGGCTCCAAGGCTACAGAGAAACCCTGTCTCCAAAAACAAGTACAACAATAAGCATTCCTAAGAGATATGGAACATTGGGTAATGACCAGTCAAGAAAATAAACACCCACGTAGAATTCACATCCAGGGAAGTCAGGAAGGAATCAGGAAGGGACGGGACTGACAAGGGCTCTGACAAACAAAGGCACCAGGCAGACACCAGCATCAGCTGAATATGAGGTGAGTGTGTGGACAGTCGCTTCTGTCTTCAGCCCAGCAGAGCAGGCTGCTAGAGACAGAGTCAGCACTCTGAAACAAGTCCTGCTGTGCCCAGCAATCCAGGATGTTCCCCAGAGCAACGCCCTTGTCCCCCTTTGCTCTTTCCTAGACATGTACAGTTGACCGAGAGTTAGCAGCTGTAGGATGCTTGTCTTCTCCCTTGAGGTACAGCTGTTTAAAGGGACCCCAGTGACGGGCTGGGTATGGTGGCACATGCCTCTATTTCCAGTACGCAGGAAGGCACCCAAGTACAGGCCAGGTGTGGTGACACACACTTCCAATCCCAGTACTCGGGAGACAGAGGCAGGAAACCCTGTCACAAAAACCAAACCAAACAGAAAACAATCAGAGGGACCCAATTACAAGAGACCCATGGTTTTGTGACACAAGCAGGGCTGATCTTAACCAAAGTTCAATCCTTGGGCCATGTTGGACCCCATCGCTGCCTCTCTGTTATTGGAGGCTGAATTCTGGGTTAGGGTTTAGAGTTGGGTTGGGGTTAGAGTTAGGGTTGTTTTCAGCTCAAGATTCTTCATGAAAAAAGCCACACTTCAGGCTTGGGTCTCTGAAGAGGCTGAGGGCTAAGGAGTTGCCTAGGGTGACTGGATAGTGTGTGACTGGACAATTTGACTGATGAGGGCTCCAAGCAATTCCTGCCTTTTTATTTTTTATTTTTTTGGGGACAGGGTTTCTCTGTATAGCTATGGAGTCTATCCTGGAACTCGCTCTGTAGACCAGGCTGGCCTTGAACTCACAGAGATCCGCCTGCCTCTGCCTCCCAAGTGCTGGGATTAAAGGCGTGTGCCACCACCGTCCGGCATCCTGCCTTCTTTATGGAGCCAAGAAGAACTTGTCCCGGCGAGAATGGGGCAAATGGTAGCTGCTGTTGCTTCCTCATAGACGTGGGGGCTTGGCAGGGCCTGTCTGTCTGTGTTACCACCTTCCTGTAGGTGTTGAGAAAACCAAGTGTGCTGGATGGTGCCCACACTCTACAGCTCTTAAGCCAGCGTGTGTGCCCGAGGGCCTGGACGCCAATTAAGCCAAACTGATACCACCTGTTTCTATCGCAACTTAAATTTGATTCAGCAATTTCAGGACACAGTCAAGAGTATAACACTTCACAAGAAGTACACAAGAGTCTCCTCTATAAAAGACCATCCCCCCAAATACTCCCTAATATCCTGGATTCACCAGCAAGGCCATGATGAACAACCCAGCATCTGCCACTACCATGCCACCTTATGCATTCTTTCCAGAGAGGAGGTAGAACTTTTTGATGTGTGGGATGTGATATGGGACCATGTGCAGAGCCTAGCTCATTCTTACAAACAGAACTGCATCTGGCCTGTGGATCTGCCAACCTTTATAATCTATTGAAAACCGAGACCCTTTTTACAGGAATTCTAGATTTCCAGCAAACTGGGTCTGCACTCTCACTGAGGCTATAGGGAAGTGGGGAGCCTGCCCCCCAGTGGTAGAAATGGTCTGTCACCTGGCCACAGAGCCCTCATTCTGAGCCTTGGCTAAACCTGGCATGTTGCAGTACATCCAGACCACTGGGGCTAAAAGGAGGCTCTCACATACCCCTGTATCTCTTCCCCAAACCTGGTGACCAAGGCTGGAGGGTGGGAGTGGAAGGCGACTGAGCTGAAGTTGCTAAGGGGTTCTGCTCTTGCTGTGGAGAGTGTCTTCCAGAGGTGAGTCATCCTTGGAAACAGAAGCCCCTTCCTCAGAGTGCATTGGGCCTGATGACGCCCACACTTCTGACACCAGACCAGTGTGAAACCCATAGGAAGTCTGACCAGAAGTGGCTGTGGGTATGCAATGGGGAAAATGGGCATCGTGTCATGATGAAGTCTACCTAGCAGTCCCCATGGGTTATGCAAGAGCAAACACTATAGGCCAGGCCCACCGTGACATCCCTGGGTCTCCCCCACATTCCAGAACACTGAATACACACTGTCCAAACCCTCTTCATAAACCCACCAAGCCAGGAGTGCAGAGCTGAGTGGTAAGCAGATGCCTGAGCTCAGAGCTTAGGCTCACCCATTGGGCTGCTTCGTGCATGATTTGGGACCTGACTTTGGTTGGTGTCCAGTGAGACATTCTATCGTGTGTGTCTCTAGAAGGGTCTCATGTTGCAGGGAGACCCTGTTAGCTCACTAGTTTCTCTTGTGAACCTTGTCTGAGAAGTCACAAGATACATAACCAAGGTTCATGGTCACAAGCAAACATAGGTCTTTTCCTGTGGGAGGACTCCCATCCTCCTAATTCCCTGAAGGGCACTGGAAGGTCTCCTTAGCAGATGCCAGCTATGAGCAGTGTGCTGTGTGGTGTGTGGGATATTAAAGAGGAGCTGAGGCCATTTTTGCTGTCTGTCCAGGAGCATATGTCCCAAGCACAGAAGCCTTGTGAGGTCAGTGTTCATAGAGAGCCATAGAAGTACACAGAGTGAGATTGTGTGGTGAGGAGAGCAGGCTGGTATCAGAGGGGGTGGAGAGAGTGCAGCTGATGTTCCTAGAAAGTGGGGATGTTGCATAGAAAGGAGGAGGGACCGCCCCCAACAACTGTGAGAAGCCTAGAGGCTCCTGGCTACAGAGTGGGGACTTCTTGGGACAGGGTGGAAGTGGAGGCATTAGGCTGTCTCCACAATCTGGGTACAGTGACAGTGAGAGGTGGTAAGGTCTAGAGATCATATACATACATTTGCTGGCAGCTTGAGGCATAGGGGTTTTAGGTAGAGACACATTGGGAGAATCACATGGACTAGCCTGAGCAGCTGGGGCAGGGCTCCATTGGGGTTGAGCATTCTGGGAAACTGACCCAAGCATGCCACCCATCTGCCCATGTGTATTTGTCTCAAGTGTGAATGGCTGGCTGTGTGAGGACAGAGTTCAGTGAAGATACACACCTGAAAACCTCAGTGTGGAGAGGTTCTTAAGACTACAAGTCTGGATGAGGTCACAGGTAGGATAGCAAATTGAGGAATGGAGCTGGCAGACCCAGATGCCAGCTTAGAGATCCCATCTTAGCATGCAGTAAAAAATAAGACACCATCGGTGAGTTGTGGTGGCACACTCCTTTAATCCCAGCACTTG